GAAGACTTCATAATATTATTAACCACACTTTTATATTGCTGGAGTATAAACCTTACATTTATAAAGCACCTAAGGATACGCTTGATGCGTTATTACTCGGTAATTCTGCATGGTTAAAAGTCTTTGAGGCTTACAAGGAAAATACAGATGAACCAAACATGGGAGTTAGACTCTGAATTTAGAGGCAAGACTTTAAATTTTACTGGACAACCCTTTGGTGCAAATCAGATGGAAAGTATGACTTGGCTACCTCGCCACTCGTTTGCATGCTCCAGAGCAACCTGGAATTATGGAGAAACTTCCTAACAGTGAGAACAATTAACCAGTGTATCAGCTTGCCTGCAGAAGTTGTGGGTGCTTCATCACTGGAGGTTTTTAAGAAGAAACTGGACAGTCATTTCTCTGAAACACCCTAAGGTCTCCTTCTTGAGCAGGGGGTTGGACTAGAAGACCTTCAAGGTCCCTTCCAGTTCTATTCTGATTAAAATCAAGGAGGAACAGGAACATTAGGAATTCTTCTAACAGTATTAAGTCTTAGCAGACATCCATATCTTTATGCATATTTTAGTTAAACCTTGGAGCTCACAGCTGCTAACTAAACTCAAGGATTTTGTCCTTGAGAAGATAGTTCAGCTATTGGGGGGGGGGGAAACCCAAATAAATTACTCCTTATCCCAGTTTTCAGACTGCACCCAGAAGTGCTCCAAGCAAAGAAACTTATGCCATTGGTTTGAGCTCCAAGCTTGGCAATTTGTCAGCGACGATGTCTCCTCGAATGGTGGCGAAACGTTTGCAGCCAAATTGCCAAGCTCGGAGCTCAAATCAACAGCCTAGCTACCAACCCAAGCTACTAATAGTCAAACACATTTCAAAGAAACTTATTCTGGATCTTCCAAACTATATTTCGGACAACTGTGTGAACACTATCATTGAGTCCGATAGCGATCTACATGTTGTTCGCCGTGAATTCTCCGTAGAATCTGGTATGGTTGACCACAAAATGTGAATAACTTTAAGGGGAAGTAGTCTACTTCAGAAAGCTGTGCTGTTTTAAAAATTTTGTTGACTTCCATTAATCTAGAAGGGTGCTTGATCATCGTCACCACTGAACATCTAAAATTGGCAGCAAAAACGAACTAAAGATTATTTCCAATTTTTGGAACTTCTTTTCAAGGGAAGACCAAGCTAAATCCATTTTTGTTATTCTTTCCCCCGTTTTAATCTCTTTATTGAAAAGAAATCAGACAAGTTTTGGCAGCTCAACCTGACTTTTTTAAAAAAACTGAAACACATTTTAATCAGTGTTTATTTATTTTTGGTGCTGTCCTATTTTAAACAGATTTTGTCTGCATGTATATAAAATATAAAACCTATTTTACTCGTTATTTTATTACCATGGGCTTCCTGAGCATTGCATTTGATGGAAAAAGAGCATACATTTAATATAAATAAGTAAAATCAAGGAGGCATTGAGAAGCCCGAGGATGGTTCTCAAAGTCTATTTTCCTATTCAGAGCTGTCTCAAAAACGGCAGCTGCTTCCTTAAACAAATTACCAACATCGGGTCAGCAATGGATAATATTGAAAAAGCAGAGTTGGGAGTGGGGACAAAATAGGCAGCGATACTCTACTTCATATCCTCAATTTCATGCCTCCAGAAGTGCTGGACATCACCTTTCATCATTCAACAGGCAATTTCAGCAATGCCCCTTGAGAATTCTATGAGTTCAACACATCTCGGAACCAAGTTGCAGAAAAATGTGTTCTAGAATGAGGTCATACTTCATGAGACACCAAGACCTGATGCCTCTGGTTTCCTTGGGGACATCAAATTTCAGTCGAAAACTGATCATTTAAATCAGGATTTGATATATTCGCCCTAAGACGCTAACCCAAACAAAAGGCAGCACAAGAGTGCTTCAAATAAAATAAATAAAATGATTATCCGCCCAGAGTACCGCTTCACAGTCACAATCCAATTTCACAGTCCATACAGAACCTGAGAGCTGTGAACATGTGAATTTCCCCCCTTAAATTGGCACACCGATCTTTCTTCTTTATAGCCTAGAGGTTACACGCATTAACATCTGGAACAAGGATAGACTTATTCATTATTTATTTATTTTAAATATTCCTAGTTTCCCATCTACCTAGGAGGACTAGGGGTGACATGATAGCAGTCTTCCGATATCTCAGGGGTTGCCACAAAGAAGAGGGAGTCAAGCTATTCTCCAAAGCACCTGAGGGTAGGACAAGAAGCAACGGATGGAAACTAACCAGGGAGAAAAGCAACCTAGAACTAAGGAGAAATTTCCTGACAGTGAGAACAATTAACCAGTGGAACGACTGGCCTCCAGAAGTTGTGGATGCTCCAACACTGGAAGTTTTTAAGGAGAGATTGGACAACCATTTGTCTGAAATAGTATAGGGTTTGCTGCTTTGAGCAGGCATTTGGTCCCTTCCAACTCTTTGTTATTCTGTTAGCCACGCTCATGGAAATTATAATTTAAAATGCAATAAAAACACAAAAAGCAATAAAAAGGTATACATACTAAAATATAAACCAGCAACCATGAATAATGTTGTTTTACCATTCTGACATTTCAAAAGTCAAAATGTTGAGGGGTTTCAGGATTAAGTCATGAATTGACTCCATAAAGTAATTGATGTCTATTTTTGGTACCATGCAGAAGCTGGAAGAAAGTTGGGATGGTTTAAGAAACAGCAGAGAGGTATTGCTGCACTTGTGTGAGATCTAAAATCTTTCCTCCAAACCATCCTTGAAGTATACACATATTTAATTGACAACATCTGAAATAAAATAACTACATTTGACACACCCAGAGGTCTATTTCCTATTTTTAAAATTCAGATCCTACACTCCTACATAATCTCACCAAATTCAAAAAAAGCTCAAGGTAAAGACTAAAACATTAATGAACAATCTCATCGAAGGAGCAACTGGAAGGAACTAGAAGACCTCCAAGGTCCCTTCTGACTTTGTTATTCTGTTAAGTTAGATGCACAAATGTTACAGAAATGAAGACCTCCTTTTCACCAGTTCTCTTTTTCTCTCTCTCTCGTTTCCAAGTTCTTCTTTTCACATTCCCTCACACAGCTCCTTATCTTCTTGTCCTTCATCTTCAGCCCACCCAAATTCCAGCTGCCTCCACCTTATCTCACTCGTTTCCAATTATTTTTCTTTATTCAAAACCTCTACCAAGGCCATCATGAAGCAGATGTAATCTTTAAAGAATTCCCTTACTTTAACTCCCCAATGGTCTGTGGACATGCATCATCCCCTTTCAGAAAATCACAACTTTTCATTTTGGCCATTGGATGACTCAAGATTTTGGTGTGAGTTTTTTTGGTCTCTTCAAATGGCCAAAAAATCCCCCAAACTGACCCTCTCGAGATCTTTAGATGGGATGTTCAAACCTTCTGCATGTCTCCAATATTTGTCAGATTTAAAGCTTGTTGCTCTCCAAAGCCAGATGTTAGTTTCTAAACAAATACAGCTACATCATCTCTTTTCTTCCAAGTGCAGTCATTTCCACCAAGTGTAACCTTGAACATGGACTACACCAATTTGTCAGCAGCTCCAAGTCCTTCTCCCCAAATATCCTAAATGTATTTTTCCAATATTCCCTACTCTTTTATCATTCCCTGAAACCTGAATCAAGCTTCTTAGAATTTCTGGCTTTTTTCCCCTCAGTGGATACACCATTTCTAGCTCCATTCTCCAAATTTCAGTTGTGCTCCAGTGTCCATAGAAGGTCACCCCTTCCTCCATTTTGCAAATTCAAAGCGTAACCCTCCAGGTACTTTATATTTATCACGCCAAAACCTTACACCCTTGGAGATGAACTCTCCCAATTAGAAGCATGCCAACCACACCACTTCCCACCTGTACCATTTGACACACAACATTCACATCCATTCCCCGGACTCCTTAATTTTGGGAGCGACTTCATCCTGAGAACACCCCCATTCATTTGTGGCCATCAAGAGGCAAACCTGAAGCGATTCCCATCTCCCCCCCAAAATAACCCCCAACTCCGCAGAAGTGCCCTAACCCCCAATTTTTCTCGAATTCCTTGAAACACAACTGTTTCCCAATGAAGCACCCCCGACCCTCAACATTTAAACCCCTGGGAAAAGTCACAAACCGAGCATCCGCCAACCCCTCAAAAGACGTATTTATAAAATAATCCCCCCTCCCAAATCTTTGCAAACTCCGAAGAATCCCAGTTGTTTTGCAACACCTGCCCCCTAAATCAATAATCCCGCACCCCCCATTCTAAGGGCAACCACTCCTGCGGCACACTCCCCCCTGCACCCCAAATCTTTGCAGAGCCCCACCTCAGGCCAATCCCTCATCAGCTCCCTGCCCCCCCACCCAGAAGGCCTCAGCACTCCCACCTTCAGCTCTGCACCCCCAAATCCTCCTCCTCCTCCTCCGCTCCCCAAGTTTGACCCCCCTCCATCCCCATGGTATGAACCTGCCCATCCTTGCTGAGCGCCCCCAAAAAGTCCCTCCAGAAGTTTTAGAGACCCTCCCGAAGTCCCCCCACCCTCGGCCACACCTTCCCACCTGCCCTGCCCCCCCCCATAACTCTGACCCCTTGGAGACTCCTCCGCCCTGCCCCTCCGACCCCTGGCGCTGCACCCCAGCGAAGTCCCAACTCCTCCATCCTCGCCTCTCCGGCCCGTTCATCCCCCCACCACCACCACACACGGGACCCCCCCCACCCCACATCCCCCCCCCACCCAGGAACTCTCACCTGCCGCCCTGCAAGTCCCACCTGCTCCCCCCCTCCTCCCCCAAAAAAGCCCCTCGCCTGGCTCCCCACTTCCTGCTACCCCCCAAAACCCCCGCAAGCCCCGCCCCCCATAGGGTGCCCCCTTCTCTTCGGAGGGGGGGAGGGGAGGAGGGGGGAGGGGGACTTTCTCCTCCCCCCACCACTCTCTCTCTCTCTCTCTCTCACACACACACTCACCTCCGCCATAGCCGAGAGTGAGAACGGCGGGGGGGGGGGGGCTGGGGGAGGCAGGAGAGCCCCGGATGTGGAGGCGCGCGCGGATTGGCTGCCGCGCACGGGAGCGGAGCGGGAGGGGAGGGCCGCGCGTGAGAGAGGGAGAGAGGTGGTGGGTGGGGGGAAAGACTGCGAGGCGGAGAGGGAGGGGGGATTCGCGCGCGTGCGGGGGGTCGTCGATGCGGGGGGGGCGACCCGAGTCTCGCGGAGAGGGCTCTGAGGTAAAATGTTTGGGGGGGGGGGAGAGAAGAGGGGCGTGGAAAGCTGAGGGGGGGGGAAACGTCGAAGGGCGGCGGAGAGGAAAAGGGGACAGGTGAGGCAGGTGAGGGGCTCGGAGCTCAGGGACAACCTGGAGGGAGCGGGGAGGCAGCGCTGGCGACCCGCTGGGGAGGGAGAGAAACGCGGGCGAAGGGAGAAGCTGAGGTAAAAAAAATAAAAATAAGGGGGTGGGAGGGAGCGGAGGGAATTGGGGAGAGGAGGACGCCGGGGTGGGGGCGGGCAGTGATGCTAAAGGGGAGAGCTGAGGGGGGCTTCCTGGGGAAGGAAAGGGTGAAGTCGGGGGAGAGGGCTGAGGCAAGTGGAGTGCAAGGAAGTGAACCTGGGTGGGGGGTGGAAAGGGAAAGAATTAGAATTAGAATAGAATAGAATAGAATAGAATAGAATAGAATAGAATAGAATAGAATAGAATAGAATAGAATAAATATAGGGAATGGAATGGAATGGAATAGAAAATAGAAATAATAGAAATAGAAATAGAACAGAACAGAACTGCATAGAATAAACAGAGTTGGAAGGGACCTTGGAGGTCTTCTAGTCCAACCCCCTGCTTAGGCAGGAGACCCTATAGTACCACTTCAGACAAACCGTTGTCCAACCTCTGCTTAAAAATTCCCAGTGTTGGAGCATTCACAACTTCTGGAGGCAAGTTGTTCCACTGGTTAATTGTTTAAAAAAAAAAGAACGGAGGTAAACCGGTAAAAGAGTTCACATAACATAGAATAACTATGGTGTGAATGAGTTTTAATGTTTTTGATTCTTAGATGTTTTCTATAATGGTTTTAAAAGCATTGTGAGCCGCCCTGAGTCTTCGGAAGAGAGGCGGCATACAAATTGAAATAAATAAATAAATAAATAAATAAACTAGAGTTGGAAGGGACCTTAGAGGTCATCTAGTTAGTCCAAACCTCCTGCTCAAGCAGGAAACCCTAAACCATTTCAGATAACAGATAATCCTTGACTTACGATGGCCCATTTAGCGACCTTTCAAAGTTAACAACTGAAAAAAAGTGACTTGGGACTGTTTTTTCACATGTATGACATGTATTGGGACATCCCCGTGGTCCTGCGATCAAAATTCGGACTCTTGGCAACGGACTCATATTTGTGACAGCTGCGGTGTCTCCGAGAGGTGGGTGGTGATCTCCTTTTGCAACCTTCTGACCAGCAAAGTCGATGGGGAAACTAGATTCGGCTGTGTTACTAACATAACACCTGCAGCGATTCACTTAACAACTATGGCAATAAAAGTCATAAAACGGAGTAAAACTCACTTAGCAAATGTCTCACTTAGCAACAAATTTTGGGCTCAAGTGGGGTCGTAAGTCAAGGATTACCTGTAAATGCCTGACAAGTCTCTTTTTTAAAAAGCCTCCAGTGATGGAGCACCCACAATTTCTGGAGACAAGTCGTTCCACTGATTAATTGTTCTAACTGTCAGGAAATTTCTCCTTAGTTCTAAATTGGACCTCTCCTTTCCATCCATTGCTTCTTGTCCTGTCCTCAGGTGCTTTGGAGATAAGTTGACTCCCTCTTCTTTGTGGCAACCCCTGAGATATTGGAAGACTGATATCATGTCCTCCCTGGTCCTTCTTTTCATTAAACTAGACATATCCAATTCCTACAACTGTTCTTTATATGTTTTAGCCTCCAGCCCCCTAATCATTTCAATCATTTGCTCTTCTCTGCACTCTTTCCAGAGTCTCAGCACCTTTTTTATATTCGGGTGACCAAAACTGGATGCAGTTTTCCAAGTGTCGAAAGGAGACATGGGAGGGCATCCTGGAGCAGGGATAGGTAGCCTATGAGGGTATCAGTCTCTGGGGAAGCTAAAGCGGGAGGAATGGAACTGGGGGAGAAATGTGGGGTGTTAATGTTAGGTGATGTGGGGGGCTAGGAAGATCTGACCATCCTTAGCTCCTGGTGACTTTGGGGTGTGTAGCCATCCTTGCACTTCTTGAGATGTCAAATTTGAGGAAAACTGGGATGGGAATGTAACTAGATTTAAGAATTATTTATATCCTACCCTTATTTTTACAAATAACTTAAAGTGACGAACATATCCAACGTATCTTCCTCCTCCTATTTTCTCCACAACAACAATCCTGTGGGGTGAGTTGGGCTGATTGGGAGTGATTGGCCCATTATCACCCAGCCAGTTTTCATGCCTAAGGTGGAACTAGAATTCACAATCAACTGGTGATTGACTCAAAGTCACCCAGCCAACTTTCACACCTAAGGTGGGACTAGAACTCACGGTCTCCTGGTGAGTGACCCAAAGACACCAGGCTGGCTTTTGTGGCTAAGGGCAGGACTGGAACTTACCATCTCCTAGTAATTGGCCCAAAATTACCTAGCCAGCTTTCACAGCTAAGGTGGGACTAGAAGTTATAGTCTCCTGCTTTCTAGCCTGGCAGTTTCCTGCTTTCTAGCCTTAACCACTATACCCAACTGACTCTCTTTTTCTTAATAGTCATCCTAAACTTGGATTAACTCAACACTGTTCACATGCAAATGCCCAAAGTAGTAAACCAGGCAGGACTACAACTCACGGGGTCCTGGTTTCCAGCCTGGTGCCTTCACCATTAGACCAAGCTATGCTAAAAATACGGTTAGACAGTTTGTGAGTCCACATATTGCAGGATCTCTAATTTTGCTTCAGCATTTTATGTCAACTGCTCCATCATCTTAAAACAGAGTTTTTCAAACTTAGGAACTTTAAGATATGTGGAGTTGAATTCCACATATTTTTGGAAAACACTGGCTTATTCCAGAAAGTGGCTTATTTTCCTGGACATCACTTTTTATTTAATAATTTAATTTTTTAATAGTGCCATATTCCAAAGACACTCCCAGCAGTTTATACATAAACTAAAATACCACCAACCAATTGTTTTAAAGGTTAAAGCATAAATTAATAGACAAGAGCCACTTGTGCCCAATCCCAATAATAACAGTCACATATCACATCTCATCAGGTCAAGTGGCAACTGAATCTCTAGTGGGAGTCTGCTTCAAATGGAAGGATCTTCAAAAGTGAAAATGCCTTCAACCCCTCAATCCCTTAAATGGATACCTTAAGAATCCCTTCCCAGTATGAGTTTATAGGACAGACTATTTCCATTTGAAGGAGATACTTGGGGGTGGGTATTTTGAGATTTACCCAGAAACTTACTGATAACCTATGCAGCACCTGCAAATCTGTTTTATTTTGTTATAACAGCTCTCAAGAGGAGAAAGGAATCTGTATTTAGTACCAATTGCAGTTTCAAAGTAGCTTTCAAAGGCAGCCCCATAAATGAACACTGAAATGTAATCCAGTTTTAATGCATAAGAATGTGAATTATTGTGAATACCCAGTGGAGAAAAGAATGGCTATGAGGATTAAATTAAAAAAATAGGCAAATTGTAGGCCACTTAAGAGAAATAACGATAAAGGACAAAATGAAAAGTGAATACCAAAAAAGTAAGTGGAATAGAACATAAGGCAGAATTTTAACAGGCAGGAGAATAAGGAACATCACTGGGCAACATTAAAGTATGTTGAGTGTGCAAAATGTGATGCAGTTTACATGATCAAAGTTGAATGTGGGAAAATTAGTATGTATGATATATGAAAGTAGTCAAAATCCAGAACTATCTGGACCCATACCAGTTGGGCTTCAGGTAGGGGTACAGCACTGAAACGGCATTGGTCGCGTTGGTGGATGATCTCTGGAGGGCTCGGGACAGGGGTTGCTCCTCTGTCCTGGTCCTGTTAGATCTCTCAGTGGCTTTTGATATCATCGACCATGGTATCATGCTGCAGCGGTTGAGGGGGTTAGGAATAGGGAACACCGTTTTGTGGTGGTTCTCCTTCCTCTCCGACTGCTCATTCGTGTTGACGGGGGCAGAGGTTGACTTCGAGGCGCCTTGCATGGGGAGTGCCGCAGGGGTCGGTCCTCTCGCCCCTCCTGTTCAACATTTATGTGAAGCCGCTGGGTGAGATCATCCGTGGTTTTGGGGTGAGAGTCCATCTGTATGCTGATGATACTCAGCTGGACATCTCCACCCCAGACCACCCCAACGATGCCCTTGATGTGATGTCTCGCTGCCTGGAGGCCATGCGGGTCTGAATGGGGAGAAATAGGCTCAGACTCAACCTCTCAAGACTGAGTGGCTATGGTTCCCAGCGTCGCGATATAGTCAGCTGGTGCCATCGCTGACTATTGGGGGTGAGTCTTTACCCCCCCAGAGAGGGCTCGCAATCTGGGTGTCCTCCTGGACGCACGACTGTCTTTAGAAGAACATATGATGGCCGTGGCCAGGGGGGCTTTTTATCAGGTTCGCCTGATCCACCAGTTGCAGCCCTTTCTGGATCGCAACGCCTTGCGCACAGTCACTCACGCCCTTGTCACCTCCTGACTGGACTACTGCAATGCTCTCTACATGGCCCCCCCCTTGAAAAGCACCCGGAGGCTCCAACTGGTCCAGAATGTGGCCGCACGGGTGGTTATGGGCGCAACTCGTTGTGCCCACGTGACACCCCTCCTGCGCGAGCTGCACTGGCTCCCAGTGGTCTTCCGGGTGCGATTCAAGGTGTTGGTTACCACCTTTAAAGCGCTCCATGGCATTGGACCTGGGTACCTTCGAGACTGTCTTCTGCCACCAGTAGCCTCCCACCGGCCAGTCCGCTCCCACAGAAAGGGTCTCCTCAGGGTGCCATTGGCC